GTTGCTAGGTCTACGGTCGGATAAATTCGATTCAAATCTGTCAAGAAAGTTGATTAAAGAAGTTTAGAGCACTGGCCTTGAAAAAGCAATTTCAAAAGGCTTTTTATGACATCAGCAAGGTGGCGATTAGAAAATACTTGATTGAGCAAAATTTTGTGGAACTGTCCGAAGCTGATTCGGTCAATAGGTTCAGTGGCAATGAAAGGTGGAAGTTCATCAAAAGACGCCAATTCAATGTAATAATTTAAAGGAGCGCATAATAAGAGCACTACGCATTTGAATACGGTCTTGTTCGATGGAACTATAACAAGTAATCTTATTTATTGCCCTTCTCATCGCATTTTCCCCACCAACCTTCCTTCAGCATACTGTATTGAGTCACCAATGTGATTTTCTCACGAGAAATGTGACTTTTGCACCTTTTCAATGTGACTGTGCCGTTTCCAGGGTGAATATCAGGAAAGAAATTGCAGATATGGTCTTCAACGACACTTGATCTTCCTTTTCTTCAATACCTTTCGACTGTTAATCATATCATTGCACGTGCACTATCAAAAACCATACCTGCTTCGGATAGCTGCGAGTATGTCAAGTATAACTGATCCATTGAAGGCTGCTGCTGGACAAGCTGCTGTTGATACTGAACATAGAAGGATAAAATAATGAAACGTAAAACGCACTAAAATGCTCCTCTCTCTAATAATGCGCATTACCAGGAAACCATTTCGTTCGAAATACTTAAAAATAAAAAAAATGTAATCCGAACCTGCTGATAGGTTCGTTGTTGCTGCTGATATTGCTCCAAAATCGCACGAGTACGACTCTGAAAGCGGAACTATTTGTGGCTGTCGGGTAATCTTTCCAGAAATCAGGTAAAACAGTGAGAGTTGCCGAACAAACTCACCTCGTCGCCTCCGAATAATTGATGAATCTGCATTAGAGTGTTTTGATCAAACCCACCGAGCAACGTTGGAGTTGTCTGCAAAGAGTCCAAAATTATGACGCGTCACATTAGACAAAGTACACGTCAGCATTCAAATATCAAACTTTACTACATTCTCTCAAAACACATCGCACGAATACAAAAACTAAAAAACGACTGCTCTCTGAAGCCAGCGCAGGGACCGTACCAGCAAGAAGACTGTACTCATTCTGCCACTATCATACTCAAAACCGTTCGGTCGCTTCCCATTAAAAGGGCGTCTCATGTTCCCAATGAAAGCTCAGGAGTAGAACGAAAGAAAGCGAGTGAATATGAAAAGTTGATGAAACCACAAAAAATAATGAGCCACTTAAAACGATTGTGATTGATTACAAAAGAACCAACAATTTTCGAGAATTAATGGCAGCAGTTCACGCAATTCGTATGATACACTTTCGAAAATTCTTATTTAAGTACGTAACCAAAAACAGGAGTAATGTAAAGTTATGACGTTTTCAAAAAAAAAATTTAAAAAAATAGCGAAATGCACTTACTGAAGGTTGTGAGGTTACCGCTGCCGCTGCTGCATTCGCAGTGAGCTGAGCAACGGATGGTGGCTGCTCAATAATCGAAACGGACGGAGGACGAAATGGTGTACCAGCAGTTATTGAACCTTTCACTAATCCCGTAGAAATCGACGACTGTTCCACTAGCGGCTGACATTCTTCCTTTGGTTTCACCTGAAATAGAGGTGTTTGCTGCAGCTTATTAGAAAATCAGGGTCTTTGATGAAGCACACGAGTTTGACCAGAAAATGTTTTGGTCGAGTTCCTGCTGGTAAATGAATATACTACCCGTACGGTTTTGTCAAAGAAGAAAATGCTAACTATGATTGAACTATTTTCTCTCCAAATCATATGCCCATATATGTATCTGCTAAGGGATGTCTTCTATACTTGTGCCTAGCGAAATTTGTCAAATAGTGACTTTCATCACATACATCTAATGATGAGATGTCGAAGACAGTGGCATTTGACGTCGTTGGAACTTCGGTTATATCTACATCCAAGTCGCCGTCTTGCACAGTGATCACAGATGATTCTGGGACATCCTGTGTGTCCTCCTCCATGGCAATATCGTCCTCATGCCGATCGCTGCAAAACAACACAGTTGTACTGAACAAAACCTGTCCAAGGAGAATGTCGTTGAATAAGTGAATTCATTGGAAAGCACTTCGATCTAAAGGAACTTCGAGAATCGAGAACAAAACCACAAAAAAAAANNAAAAAAAAAGGAAAATTGAAACAATCGATTAAAATCGTTAAAAAGCGGCAGTGCTATTGAACGTACCACTTGAAGTTATCAGCATCTTCCTCGAAGTCTTCCTCTTCTTCCTCTTCCTTCTTGCACAACGTCTCGTACTGTAGTCGACAGTCATCCGCACTTCTACCTTGCATTTGCTCCGAAATTGTGGACCAGTTAGTGCCAAACTGAGCGACAAGGTTTTGAAGACGAGATATCTATAAAATATGAAAAGAGTGTGTATGCAACGAATTCTATAGCAAGTGTAAATCACATACAGCTCATACAGCTCAATAAAGAAAATTTCCTGCTCATTATAAAACTAAATATGATAAATGTACTCAATTCAGTTGAGAATTTGATCAACGCACCTCTCCACTTTGCCATGTTTGATGGATTTCCATTTCGAACTTCGCCATTTCGTCTTGGAGGTCCCCGGCGAACAGCTGAAAATGTAAATCAATGGTAACATTCTAATCTATAAGAATCGATGATCGGAGTTACAAAAATAAATGCAAATGAATCAGATTTTGTGAATTTTACATGATCAATATCTTAAGCTACACGAAAAAGGTAAGCACCGAACCCTGGGCAAGAAGCAGTTCTCAGAAAAAAATTATTTCAAAACCCCATAGGAATATTGAGTGGATTTATGCAATGGATAGACATTTACCATGTCCAATTTCTTGGAGATTCTTTTGAAGCATGGTCCACAACATTTCACTATTTCACGTGGGATGGACAAGTGGGCGAGCATGAACGAACGTTGCCGATCATCCATTTGACGCCATTTCGCAGGCATAGCTTTGGTCGCTTTAACCTTACGCTTACCAGAGGCGCAAACTTTCACCATACACCGCCTGAAAAAAGTTGTGATTTTTTCCAAAGGATAGCGACAGTACGGTAACTTACCCGCTATTCCTAATTTTCAAAACCTCATCCTTGCACTTCGTACATATTTTGCAGTCTGCACCTTGTTTCCTGGCGTCGATTCCTATATATTCAATAATCTAGACACCATGACGTGAATTTCTTCATAAAACTCCAAAAAGAATATTTAAGATTGACGAAACTCTGTTCAGAAAGTTTCGATTGGACCATTGAAATTTCGGCGAAGTCAAAAGTGTAGAAAAAATTGAAATAGAAAAAATACCACGATTATATGGAATGTTTTTGGCATTAACGATAATACGGTAACCAGCAACTCAGGTGTAATGTTTACAAACTAGAACTGACCATGAGCTACTTATCTATGACCTACCTCAGTCTATTACTATGATTTCCATTGCAGATCACAAAATATTAGGGAATATTCCGAGTCCAGGAACACCCTGAGTGATCGCCGAAATCAAACAAAGTAGAATACATGTATTATGATCGAAATCGCTGGCAAATTAGAAAAACGAAAATTGGTGGTCAATAAATGCAGCGAGTGTTACGAGAAACCAATAACAATGAAAAGAATTGCTTTCTGGACGTACTTCACTAATTTTCAATATTTCCGTTGTAGAGGTCTTCTATTGTTCACGACTGGGAAAATTGAAAAATGAAAACAGGGGGTGAATGAAACTTTTAAAAAGGGTTATATTCAGTTAGAGGTATTCTATTTTTTTTAATATTGTTTAGGTTTGCTAGTTGTGTAAACATTGGTACACTTCTCTTCATGTTGTGTAACAAATGATAACGCCTTAACGTTGATGTTATTGCAAACGTTGTCAAATGGTTGCATTAAGAATAACTCAAGCCGACAATTAGCACTCCAGTGTAATTCCCTTGCTGTTTTTTGGACTCCCTGTTCGATCGCTAAATGAAGAATTTCCTTGTGCCGATTTCCGAGTTATGTTTCTGAAACTGGTCCTGATGCCCGAAAAAGTCCAACTTTTTTTTTCAAAAGATATCAATGACATCATATTTCATCACAGCCCATCCCTTCAAAGATATAATGCATACGAACGTCCTACTTACTCAGCAAGAAATCATTCATTACCAAATTCTTGTGAACTCTTTTCGCCTACATTCCACTTCAAAATTCTTGGATCCTTTCACGGTTTTAACATTTATCTTAAACAACATCGCACAAAAGTTCACTAATTGTCTTTCGCAGAAACGGCTTATCAAACAACTCGAGAAGCGGCTTCTTGATTTTGGCCCAAATCTAAAGGAGTCTATAAGGAAGCCGTGTTTCAGTTCAAATTCAACCTGCGGGAATGTTTCGCCGCTTATGCCTTGCTCTTTTGTGACTTCTTGAACTGTATTTCTTGGAACAGCTTCTATCAAAATCTGGAAAAGGACACCTAGGCATTTCCGTATGTTGCTATGAAGAATATGAAATAGAACTAAGAGAATAATTTCAGGCCCATTACATTAGGCATCAGTTGGTTCTAAACTCTATAATGAAATATATGCATTTCCTGTCAGCGATACCAGCACAACATAATATGAGGATGATGATTTGCGCACGGAAAATACCATTCTCTCGGTCATGCCTTCTGAGCGGATTAAGTCTTGCCTAGATACCTAGCACTTGGGCATGCGGTCAATGGCACCCACATCACTCCACACAACACAGCGTCCTTCGCTGCGCGGTAATGTGCAGAAAAACTAGGCATTCTCCACTCGCGTATTCAATACAATTACACTGCGTGGGGTACAATTGGTGACTAAGACTATAGCTACTACATAGCGACTAATCGCAACCAAATTCAAGATTCTGGTGAGATGAGTGGAAGATCTCGATGAGTAGATAATCCTTAGGATCTTCACAAGAAATAGTGAAGTTTAAATGAAAACATGTGGGCTGGTCTACACTAATTTCACCTGAACTGTTAGGAGAAGACGCGTGAATTAATACAAACGGGAAAAGCCTGGTAGCAATCTTACAATTGCTTCTCATCCCTTCTTGGCAGAATAGAAGTCCGGAAAGACAAGATTAGATTGGATTCATGCGATTTGCTTGTGATATGTAGTACACGAACGTCTTTTTGAAAGAAAGAAAAAGAATGCAACACGTGTGCACTCAGAAAATGATTACGGCGTTGTACTAACGTATGAAACCCCACAAAAAATCTATGCATTACTCAAATAGTGGAGCAAAAAAAAAATAAATGCAAAAAA